ATATCTACTAATGCCTCCGATAAAAAATGTTTTTTTTTGCAATTATCGTGACATTCTAAAGTCTTTATAATACTATATTATACACGTATACTACACTAATTTTATTATATTGAAATTAAAAATAGAATTTATTATACTTCATAATTTATATTCTATACTAGCTGTACACGCGAATCTGTTCGCGTGGAACTTTATTTTATTTTTCTAAACTAAAAGTACCCTAAGTTACTCCTTATTAAATCAGCTACCTGCCAATAAAACTCTCGTCAAAATCGGTCCAGCCATTTCAGAGATTAGCCGGAACAAACAGACAGACAGACAAAAATTATATAAATCTTATTTTTGTGTATGCACCGTATTTATATTCATATGTATGTAGTAAAAAACGGTGTTGATTGTGTTAAAGTTGCTTTCTGTTTGCTTTGGGAGAAGTGGAAATTTTGTACTTAAATTTAAATGAAACGACGTTGTGTCTTCACGGTTGTATTTTGGCGACTGACTGTAATGTAGACAAACGGTGGCCGGCCGTCAGAAATATACATAACTATAACTGCGATCCGATATAGACCAACCAAACGGTTATTTCAATATTACAAAAAAGACACTTATAGTGTTCACTTATTTGTTATTTATGTCTTCTTGTATGTAAGTTGTTATCGACGTAATATCGGCTCGTTAGCCATAGCTCCACGTCTTTACTCCGCGGCGCTTGCGCAGGGAATCCCTTCCCTCTTGCGCACGGCGGTCCGTGTACGCTCGGCTCGAGACGATAGATAATAAACTGCTAGTGTTTCCACATACACTACAACACTCCAATTTTAATTATATGTATAGATGTATAGATGAACGGAATGGCAACATGTAGATTGAGTCAGATTCACAAGAAATACACCACGAACATTGTCATGCTTGATAACTCTCGAGTATTGTCTTAAATGTAGCGCTATTCTGTAAACATCACTTCCGTTTATCGTCCGTCATTTTTTTTTCGGACTACTCTAATTCTGTTGTCCGTAGCTGCCCTTTACAGCTTCACCGGACGTTAGGGGGCGAGTGCAGATGGCACTCCAAACCCGCGGAAGGACTTATGGAGAGGCTGAAGGCCAACTCCTGCCTGACGGATACGACATTAGTCTGAGGGCACCACTAGGGGTTCGAACCTCGGCTCAGGCCGTCGTAGTTTCGATCCCCGTTTGTATTGGACGGGGGATCGATCGGAGGGGGTTCGAAATCAGAATTCGCGCGACTGCAGCGCCACACGCTCGAGAGCGGGATCAAGGTAAAACAGGCACTAGTGTTTTTTTAGAAATATAGCCAAACTCGATAGCTCAGTAGGAACTTTATATTTGCCTTGAGTGAAGCGATGAGTGAATGAGATGATCAAACGCTTACAGAATACCAATTAAGAACAGATGACGAAGTAGAGATGGACTTTCGTACTTTGCAATTTTTTGAACAGAAACAACAGTTTAATAAGTTTAAAACTTTGCGGAATGGTTAAAATAAACAAGATCAAGTAACTCACGAACAAATTTACCACGGTTAAATAATTTATAGGTAATTGTAGTTAACAAATATTTCAGTATATAAGTTGCGTTCCCGATTGTGAATAATAAAATCTTATTTATATCTTAAAACGGTAACTACGGTTCTTATCATCTTATTCATCTTCATTTATTTAGTATGGTTTACAATTATTACTAGCTATCGCCCCGGCTTCGCCCGGGTGAACATGTATTATACATATAAACCTTCCTCTTGAATCACTCTATCTATTAAAAAAACCGTTTCAAAATCCGTTGTGTATTTTAAAAATTGGAGCATACATAAGGACGGACAGACAGCGACCGCGACTTTATTTTATAATATGTAACTAGCTGGAAGCCAGGGTGGGTACCTTGGCTTCCCACGGGTCAACATGTATTATACATATAAACCTTCCTCTTGAATCACTCTATCTATTAAAAAAACCGCTTCAATCCGTTGCGTAATTTTAAAGATTTAAGCATACATAGGGACAGCGACAGCGACTTTGTTTTATACTATGTAATGATGAAAACAGTAACTGCATTTTATTCTTAAATTTTTATTCGTCGGAATTTGTCAAATGGGGTTTACGTTTATAGGGTTTTATTAATGTGTTAATTGGTATTAATATTTATAATGGTTTATAATTGTGAATGGAGATATATTACATACATACAGATATATGAGTAGGTGATGACTTTCTCTTCGACGGTGAATTGGAGAATGATTTCAATAAAACACATTGAATTGCTCTAATGTTGTATTATACATTAACCTCACATCTAAGATGGAATTTGTAATTCATGAACATAAATATACGTAATAAAAAAGCAACAGGTATATCGTCGAATAAACAGAAAAATGACATTTTTCAAAGTTAGAAGCTAGAATTGCCTCCATTTATATAAGTCAATTAAATTAACCACGCCGTCTTAATCATTACCTAAATACTTTTAAAATTATATATAATACTTCTGTGTAAATTTAAAGGGAAAATAAATTTAAAAACTTTAATTGCTTATCTACAAGACAAGGCAAAAATGTACATTTTGTATACTGCCATTTTGCTATTTAACCGACGTTATAAAATACACCTTTTATGACATTTTTGAAAGGTGATTGCCCGTATATCTGTCATCGCTTTAAAAAAGAAATACAACACCAGTTCATTGAATTACAAAGATTTCCAATCAGTTTAAGATTTTTCTAAAGAGATCAAATACGCTAACAGTGATACTCTATGTTTAGAACTAATTAAAAATTCAGCATAATATACTATCACGCTTATATATCTATTTAAATAGGAAATTTAAACAAAACAAAAATATCTTATATAATCACTAATATCGTTCATTGTTGATGATACTTGTTGGAGCTTCAGTAGCTCCAACAATAGTTTTTGTAGAAAATATCTAACTTAAAATTCATAGCGCTGACACTGTTATCTGATTGAACAGAGATTAAGTGCGTAGCGGTTTCTATGTTGATTGTCGCGTGCCTAATGCCTGTATGGATATCAAGATATTATTGACATTTTTTTATATTTTGTATACATTTTTAATATTGTAGTCATCGACAAAGAACGACTCAATGATAAATGAAATAGCAATATTACAAATAGTTACACAATAATGTCACTTAATTATTACATAAATTAATTACACGATATCACAAAACGCTTTTAGTTACACACATTCACGTCATTACTCCACGCCTACGGCATAGATTGTATCCACAACTGAATACGTCACTAATAACAGTTTTATTATCTGTGACGTCAGTCAGACTGTCAATTTCAATATTTGTACTATTTAGTAACCGTCTATTTACTGAACTATATGGCTGTATAGACATAGTCCTTTTGCTTTACTCAAAAGGTAAAATAAACAAAAAAATACCTAACTATTATTTACTACCTACTTAACCTAACAATAGAAGGTTAAGTTTAAGTTCACGAAGATATTTCTTCGAGCACTTCAATTTTCAGACATTATTATTATTATATTAAGTGTATTGCAACAAAAATGTAACTATCATAAGAAACAACATTTACAGTGTAAAGAAATACTTAGATTAGTCATTAGATTTAAATTTGAATTTCTATTTAATAAAATTTTATAGTAAAAGTAAAGTTAGTACTGTTCTACTTATTTAATTGCTGATTTTTTTAACATTTCATAATGTATTCAAATAACCAACAATTACCTTTTTAATTTACTTCGCATACAGATCAGAAAGAAAATATAATAGTAATAATTGAAATTAAGTTTTTTTTTCGAAATATTCTAATGCTGTTGGCCGTGGCTGGGCTCTATAGCTTTTCCGGACGATTGGGGACGAGTGCAGATGGCACTCCAAACCCACGGAAGGACTTATAGAGCTACTGAAGCCGTTTTTTCCTCCTGAAGGATACGGTTTTAGTCTGGAGCAGTGCTGGGGGTTACAACCTCGTTTCAGACCAAACTTTCGAATCGTGTTTGATTAGATGATTGGACGGGGAATCCATTAGACGGAGAAATTGTCATATTCTCGTGGAATATTTTACACACTTAATAGCCTATACATTCATAACATTATATACTACTAAAAAATATATATATATTACCTCCTTATTATGTATAATGGAATAAGGAGTTTTGAACGGAACCTATCAACTATAGCATAATCATTGAATACTTATTTTTTTTAATCAAAGATAATAACGTAGAACTTAATCGAAGATTAGGACGGTTTAATGTCAAAATTATAACTAATCCTTGGCTTTACGTGGATATAGATCGTATTTCTAATTTAATGTAATATTAATGAATTGATCCTTATGTTGCTAACACTAGAAGTTCTTAAATTAAATTAACAAAAAGATGGCGTCTTAATCCGTTGATTATATTATATTATTATTTATATTATATTAATTATAAGATAATATAATTTGCTTTATGTCACCCATTAAATAAATGTGATGTTGGATGTTTCTACAATTTATTAGCTTTCGAAATTTCAACCCTGTTACGGGTATTCTGGTTAAAGGTTGATTGCATTCTATAATAAAGTACGACAACCATAAAAAGTAACCAAACCTATCACAATTTTTTTTTGCCATAGATTAGCTGCTGTGTTATGCTACCCTATTTTTTATTTTTTTTCCATTTATTTTCAAACTTGTGAGAATACGATCCAGTTCTTTAACTGGATCCTTTTCTCCCAAGCACCACCGCACAGGAGCATCCTGTCGGCATACGCTGAACCGGGTCTTTTATCGCCTTTAATAAAGTACCCTTAAAAGTTATTTTCTTTTATCTAATTTTATTGGCAGCAATAACTAATTCTTATTGTTAAAAATGTGCGTGTACCTTATATACTACGTCCTCATCGCAAGAAGTATTTTAAATAAAACCAATTCTGTTATATACAACTTTATAAGTAGATAGTAATCAAGAATCGAACTGAGAACGAATTTCTTTATTGAAGCTGTTTAAAAATACTCATATTGGTCTAGTACTTCAAAAACATCACATAGTGGACATTTGCTTAGTAACATGCCATCAAACCTATATTAGACTCTATCAGTTGTCGTCCATTTTAATATTTCAGTCATTCAGTATATTACTATTCATAATTTATATAATACTACATTTTCATATGTTCTTATTCTTATCAATAACCTTCTCGTCATCACAGAAATCAAGCATCTCGGAGTTGTATTAGCTTTTCATGGACAAAATTCGATTAAACTTCCACAGATCGAATTTCTAAACCATCTTATATTAAAGCCTTATCATAAAAGTCTTTATTTAAGAACTAGAAGAAATTTTCACCTTTCCTCGTCTAACCACCAAATGTTGGTTTTGATATTATCAAAAGCGTTTAGTTTTGTCATAGCGATCAAAATCTATAAAAGGTTTTAGGTTTTAGGTTTAAAAAAACTGGCTAAGAACGGCTACTGATGAAAATCTGATAGTAGCCGATATAGCTCTTATAAAACTTCTATGAGTAATCGAATAGATGTAAAGTTTCTAAAGCTTCTTTGGTTTCTGCAGCGCATTAATAGATCAGTCAGAACATTTGTCCATAAATTAAAGAATAAGAGCCTGGTTTAATTATGAGCCTTAAACTATTAGAGCATAAGCTCCATTACATTTCTTTGACAGTTTACATTTTGCGAACTGACAAATAACGCTTCGTATATCGTAGTAAAGAAGTCAATCTTACGACATAATTCAAAATCCAGTTAGTGAACTTCGAGGTGTTATTGTTCAGGGTTGGACCTAAGAAATCCAGGCATGAGATTGTCCACGACATCACGATTGTTCAGTCCGACGATACAGGATAGAGCTATGACTGTCCCGAGTAGTATACCCACGGCAATTGCTAGCATGCGCTGACCAAAGGGCCATCTTGAGCATGCCCAATATTGCTCGCGAACGACACTGTAATAAGAAAAGATGCAATTAACCAAGCATAGTTTGTACCAATTATGCTGCCAAATGACGAAACAAAGTCAAATAACCAATTATGTAAAGGGTTACTCTTAGATTTGAGATAATAATAACCTCTCAGGACAATTCGCACAGCATCATCTAATGGTAAGCTAAGCAGAGCTTGTGTTATTGGTACTAGAGAACTGAAATAAATATAATATAATCATACTCATGGCTATAAATATTTTGAGGCGTGCGAGGAATCTAATCAGCGTACTTCGGAAGTAAGGACAGAGTGCTAGACCTCCGAGCCTAAATAATATGATCTGAAGTAAACTCAGCAGTCAGAAACAGTCAGATCAAACAAATAAGAAACAGAACAAGCAGGGATCACGGTTGAGTATATTAGATGAGCATCTTTCTTGAGATGAAGTGATGATATTAAAATTATAGCAAATATTGATGTGTTCATTTGTTGTTATCACATATATATCATAGTAAATATTGATATAGTTGATATAATGATGATAATGATCTAATTATATCCTGCAGACATTTAGTAAAATTGACTGAAGATTATGTCGTTTTTGTAAGTATTATCAGAGGATTAATTAAAGATTAAAGAGAGATTAATGTAGGTAACAACATCCTAAAAAAACAAGTTTTAGTTATTTTAAAAGTCAAAATAGTGTATATAGTAATTGTATATGGCGTAAGAAATGTTGCAAAATACGCCTTTTCAGAGAATAGGAAATTTGAAATAAATACAGCAAAAAATTTTCGATTAGATTTTAATCTCGTTTAAATTTAATTTTATACATTATTCATACAGATACAAATAGTAATGATCTAATATATTTTTGCAATTATTTTATTGCAGAAATTGATAATATTATCATACACAGTCATATATTCGATATGCTATCTAACAGATATAAAGTATGTAAGTAGCATATATTTTTATGAGACAGGGTATTAGTCAGTTCAAAAGAAACAGCAAATTTATCTCTCAAATTATCAGATTAATATTGTTTTTGTACAATAGTTTCTCTAATAATCATATTTTCGATAATGTTATGATATTAATAAGAATAAATAATGAGTCATGCTAGTTTTATGGCTAGTATAGTATAGAATTAAAAAAACTTCATGATACGACTATTACACAGATTTTAGAAAGGATCACATTAAATATTTTGATAAGACTTTTACATAATATGGTCCTTGACATAACATTGCACTATGGGAAACAAATACACCTAAAGACCATGCAATAGAAACAAATCCATATTACAAACTAACAAACGAATTAACGATTGGTATGTGGTTAATTTATATGCTATCGATGTAGGAGCGAGAGTTATACCAGCTGAATCTCTACAGCCTTCTAAAAAATCTTGAACTGTCTAGAAATGCAGTAAGTTCTATATTAGAACGTATATCTAAAGCTGTTCTAGCAGTCTCCTACTAGATTTAGCTGGGAAAGAGAAGGAGAGTTGGAAACACGAGTCATGAAGTTGAGTGTTGACGTGCGTTGACATGGGACCCCGTAAACCTATACCCGAGTCACAAGGAAGTCAAGACAAGTCTCCGGAATTGCTCGGAGTTTCCCTTTCTGTAACACGATATCCCGCACATCATAGAACGCCAAGATATTTGTCTTCGGTTCTCTTAAAATTAAGTAAAGAATGATTTCTAGATTTATTATGTTTACAAATTTTTTCTGGAGTCATGAAATTCTTTCATTGTAACTTAAAATATATATATATATATATATTCCCTACAAATAGGCGTGTCTATTTTAAAAAAATGATGCTTAGAGTAACGTACTATTTTTTTATATTATCTATTATGTAGGTATGCTTTTTTAAAGAAGTAATACTTAGATATATATAACTTAGCTACAATTAAAGTTATAAAAATGTGGCGTAACAATGCACTGTAACATAATCCACCATTTTCACTAGAATACGTGAAACAGTAATAATTATAATACAAGTGATTACATTGTTTACATATGTAGCAGGATAATTAACTTTAAAACAGATAAAATTGATCCTTTTAAGTCAAGATGCGACAATTTGCTTAGTGCATGCAGCAATTACTATAGCGCGTTCTCTTTTATTCCTGAAAAAATTTGCAAAATCTAATTCTTAGTTGATGTCTGGGTCTATAAAAAAATTGGTACCTAGTCTCTTGCTATTGCTAGCCCAATATCTGGAATACTCTTATGATTTAGAAGTGATATTGTATATTATAAATAAAGTTACAAAATTTTGCGAACAGTGATTACTTTTATAACTTTGTTTTAATCATAAATTAGGTTAGTGATCCAAAAGGAATGAACCACTAGAATAAATCATCACATTGACAAACCTAAAATATAATCTTTTAGGTATGTATTTACTGCTAGTCCACACGTTATTTAATATATAGTAAATTATAATAAATCGTGCATACAAAACGAAAATTTCGGCAAGGATATCGTTAGGGAGTAAAGAAATGACAATGTTTACAGTAAACAAAGATTATGTTTCAAGAAAACAACGCATTAAAAGGATCTTGAAAATTGATTAGTCAAACAAAGAAGAAATAAGGAGAAAACAAAGAAAGAGCAAAACGGCTTTGGACGAAATAATCATTGAACGTTTCCAAAATAGTTGATCTTAACAGAGTAAATAGGGCCATGCTGATTCTGTCAGGACAACTATTGGGAGATTCCAAAAGTTGACTAGATTTGGGGAAAATATAAACAGGATTCTACATATACCTATTGGGAGCTTCGAAAGGTTGACCATATTTTGAGGAAAGTATAAACAGGACTACAAATATGCCTGAACAGCGTCTGATAGAACACAAATAAATTTCGATAGTTCTCATTCTTCAATCTGAACACCTTTGTAGTCTTCTTCGGTGATTAAGACTTAGCTAATATTTATATATTATGGAATAACACCAACCTTGTGGGAGCCTCCGGCAATCTATCAATCCGATCGTTTCTTGTTGTAAGATTGTTTACACTTCCAACATAGGCTGTATTCACATACACATAGTTACTACCACTAGTTGTGGACACATCCGTAATCGCGGCTTTATCTTTTTCATTCGTACTTGAGGCATTGTCGTGTGTTTTTGGCTTATTCGTAAGCACCTCAACTTTAACGTCAGAAAGGGCATTAGTGGATTTCGCCATTTCACTTTCAGATATTGTCCTAACAATGTCTAGCTCGTATCACATCTCGTTAATAACTAAATGTTATCTAGCGAGGTCCGTTGATAAGATATCGCGGCTGATATTTCTGACTTCCGACGCTGGATCTTGGATACGGTATTGTTTGCTGATTTTAATGATATTTTTGTTAGAGCTTATAATTTTTATGCTTATGTACAGTACATTATCGTTTGCTGGCGATTTGTTTAATGTATGTTTTTGGGTAAAGTGTGACGTTGGATAAATACGGCCATATTCAGATAACGAATTTATCTAAAGATACTGAACATAGCTGTCGACGAATCAATACGTTTTAGGGGTACATTATCGAATATATAGGATCAGATAAGTTATGAAACAGAATTGCAATTTTTATGCAATATTTACACACTGGCAGGGTCACAGGTTTGATCCCGGTACAATACAAATATTCGTGGCCAAAGTGTTATTTCTTACTTTTGCTGTGTGTATCATAACGATATATCCGTCGTGCTTATATATCCATATAGTTAATTGTTATTAAAAAGTAGGAGTTGATAGTAGAAGGGTGAAAATTTGGGGTGGTGTGTATTTTTAATGTTAAATCATATAAAAAAGTCATTTTTAGCTAAAAAATAAAAAAAAATGAGGTGGGTCACTCTTATTACTTAAGGGTATAAAAAATAGTTAACAAACTATTCTCAGACCTACCAAGTATAGATATAAAATTTCATCAAAATCGCCTCGTGGATCTTCTTAATATTGTATATGCGAAGGTTTGTGAGTATGGATGGATGTTTATTACTCTTTCACAGAAACTACTGAACGGATTTTGTTGCTTTCTTACTATTCAATAAATAGACAATTTAAATAATAAACAGGTCCTAGTATGCTTTCATTAGTGTATCCGTATACGGACCAGAACCCATAGAGCAACTCTGTTGCAATGGAATGTAGAATAGAATAGAATAGAAAATCATATGATTGAAGCACTTTTGAATAGTCATCACATTTTATTAATCTACCGCTCATTCGGAAAGCTGTCACATTATAAGAAGAACGAGCAAGAAACTTGCGTGTTGCTCTTTTAAATGTATCGGTCAAACGCACTCTAATATACAATTAAAAATTAAAAAAAATTGGGGATTACTATGGAAGCATGCAACAAACCTACAATTTTTCTTTAAAATGTTTATCGATAATAAATATAGAGAAATTTTATTCTAAATTCATAAATCCTAAACTAGCTAGCCGATCATACTTTTCGTGGATACTATAATTGTGGAGATTCCTACAATCAGTTAAGTCAGGCCCGTGTTAGCTGTAAATGTAGTTTTCAGTTGCTAAAATAATGATAATGATAAGAATTTAATGATAATAATAACAATTTAATAACAATGAATAATGATAATAATATTTATTATTAATAATTTATTTATAAATTAACTGGCTTTCTTAAAAAAAGAAATTCATTTGATTTTCTTGCCAGTCCTTCTCAGTTGAAGTTGCTGTGAACTCGAAAAAATATTAATACAAAAAATTTACTTTCATAAGCGACTTAAATGTCCAAAATGAATAAATATTTTTTGATTTGATTTAAATAATAATCCTGGCCAATTCACACAACGCCATCTAGTCCAAAGCTAAGAAAAGCTTGTACTAAACAATTTAACAATTTTTTTTTATAAATACGGAACATAGACAGACCGTTCCAAACATGAATCCAAATATTATATCTCATGAATACAAATATTTGTACCGTGCAAGCAATCGAATCTGCGACCATCGAAACTAAGGTCGTGTGCTAAACCGCTAAACCACCCTGGCCGTGTGTACTAAAACAATGTTTTCTCGTAAGTACCAATTATAATATAAAATCAGTATCAGATATGTGGAACACGTTGTTAGCACCTCTCGTGACTAGATACAGCGGGGACCAGCGCATTCCTTCCTCTAATTGGAAGTTGACACTGACCAGTTTCGATCGCATTCAGAATAGATTTATTTAAATGTCTCGCTATTTTAAGCATGCTAAAGAAAAACTACAGCAGAATTTTTGAGCAGGCTAAAATATTTACTTATATATTTAGTCGAACTTTTTTTGGAAGAAAACAAAAAGGAAGTTTAAAAGTTGCGCCAGTTATAGACAAGTTGCGAGGTAACAGATTGAGCTGGTATGGACATGTTATGCGGAGGAACGAGGATCATGTCTTATGGAAAGTGTATAATATGAATGTAGATGGATGTAAAGGGAGAGGACGCCCTAAAAAAGATGGATGATTGTGTGAAAGATGATATGAATAAAAGGAGAGTATGTTCAGAGATAGAGATCAGTGGAAGAGAATGGCATAATGCGCCTACCACAAATAATATGATAAAGGCAAGGCAATGATGATGATTTATTCAAACTTTAATGCAAATATAGATGTAAATCAAACTTTAATGCAAATATAGATGCATATGGTAGACTTAACATCATGACCTATTTCTCCCAGTCAACCATTGGGCAAACAGATTTCAAATATACCAGTTACATAAGTACTTCGTAATTACAGACTGTTTTAAATTTGTCGCGGTGATTATTTTTACCTCGCTGGTCTAGCGGTCTAGCACACCGCTTTACGTCCGATGGTCGCGGGTTCGATTCCTCGCACGGCACAAACATTTGTATTCATGAGTATGATTGTTTGTTGTGTGTTTTCTATGTATATTATGTATGTATTTACGAAAAAAAATATATCTATGTACTTGTATCAGTTATTTAGTACCCGTAACACAAGCTTTAGCTAGCTTAACTCGGGTCTAGATGGCGCTGTGTGAATTGTCCTGAGATTATTATTATTATTATTATTATTATACGTACAATTAGTAAAAACTCACAGGATCTTAAGATGTTTTATATTTATTGAGTTGCCGATATTTCAGCAGCGTCATGATCACAGGTAAACTAAAGAGCAGCGGGTAGATGAAAAATAAAATCTTTTTTATGGGCAACCATAAAAAATATTTTATTGCGTGATTTTGTTGCATGCGTCTACCTTCTCACGTCTTTGTTGATTGCTACTACTGGAACTTGCTCGATATTCATCTCGGCCAACTATACTCACAGTATCTTCACGTCCATTTAATACACTTTCTGATCGCGTTTTTTGTTTTTCTTTAATTAAACCAATTACTGGATTCCAGGCATTAGAGACCGTTTAATCGTCTTCTAGATTGAAATTTTTATATTTCTGTATTTCAATGGCCTCTCTAACCATTCTCGGCATATAATGTCGTTCATTTGTTAATAATTTTGGTTGGTGTAGTCATTGTGTAGTAGACCTAGACTACCTCGGCTACCTAGTGCTACGTACTCGTATATTTAAATTTTGGTTTCATATTTTCTCTTACTTGTTATACTGTAATTATTTATATAAAAAAACATCTATTGCTCTTTTTATATTAAAAAGTTTCTTGCTCATTCTTCTTGTGCTGAATCTGCATTCCGAATGAGTGGTAGAATCAAAATAAGACTATTCAAAAGTGCTTATAATGAGTTTATTTGAATAGAGATTATTTCTATTTCTATTTCTTTCTGCTTGACCGTTAGCTGTAACGTAGTTCTAAGTCATAAAGCTTGAAGTTTTGAGCAAACAAAAGTCTTGTCATTTGAAACCAAATCCTCTTGTACGACTATACTTATACTTATTTATATATCAATTGTAAATACTTCATCAATATTCATAATGTAGCCACCACTGGACATCATTCCACCTTCTCCTTTCCTGCTGCTGCTTGTACCAAAAGAACACACAATCCGTAATAACAGCAGCACCATCATAGCCGCTAAAATGAATCCATCAATCAACTCAAGACTTTAAGATCTTTGAGATTTATCAATCATAAACAAACACACAAACGAAATAATATTTCTTCTTTATTATATTAGCATAGATTATACAGAGTACTTTAAACAATTATTATACAACTTAAATTATTTGTACATATGAGATAAGGTACAAATATGTTGTATAAATACAACACAGCGTTTATTGTTAACACTTTCTTTATTTGCGTCGAGGCAGTGCATCATTTTCTTCTATTGGTCCCTATTGGCTGCTGGGAATTTTTTTAATAGCCTATAATGGGAAGGAAAGGGGATTGTTAGTACTGTGAAGTGAGAACCTCTTAGCTGATTATGTACCATCTGAGGTTGGTTGCTGGATTTTTTTTTAATAGCCTATAGGCTATTAGAAATTCTCAGTATAATATTTTGGGCTCTTTAGATGATGTAATCATGAATACAAATATTTGGACGTGGGAGGAATCAAACCCGCGACCATCGGATGTAAGGCGGTGTGCTTACCTATACCACCGAGGCCGTATTATATGAATATGTTTTTTTTTATGTATATGATAATGAAATGGTGCACCCACCTGCACTAACGGATAGCGGGGCACCAGTGGAGGAAGATAAGATGAGCATTAGGTCAGGTCAGTTAGCCCATCGTAACAAATTCACTAAGAATTTATACATTACTAACAATCCCCTTTCCCCCCTATATGAATATATTTATTTAAAGATACGATTGAAGAGAAAGAAAAGAGCTACAAAAATCAATAATGTTGTGATATAACAAATGAATGTACACGGGACAGGTGTAGTATCAGTTTGTGCATGTCGCCTACTGATTAGATATAGTTATCAATATTAGATATACATATATATTTATACATATGTCGAATTATGTATTACCATATTTTTATACTATAGGGCTGGTATGGTATTTTTATTTACCAAGATTAATTTAGTATAGTTGAGTGACTTTGCCTTTGCCTCACCTTTTTTTTATCATGTGAAAAAATATACAACCTCACCCCCTTCACCACTTCGGAGTGACGAAGGGATGTGAGGAATTCTTGCCCACTAAGTAACAGTCGCCCCCTGTCGCCCAGTGAAGCTGTAAAGGCCAGCTGCGGCCAACGCGCTAACATAAATATGTTTTTTTAAATTAAGTATAGATGTAAGAACAAATAAAATAGAATAAATGCCGTTGAAATGCGAAACTGCGCAGAATCACATTAATCTGCGGATTAACGTTGGCAGTCTGCATTAGTAATACAAAAATTCGTGTGCTGTTTGACAAAAGTAGTACTGTATATAGATAACTCTTCTTTATTTTAGTGAATTCCTCAAGTCTGAGGGTTGTGACCAGAAAGTCCACACAGGGCCATCTAGTGTAAAGCGAATCAGAAATTGTTATGGATAATTGTTACAGACAACTGAGAGAACGCTTAAATACCTTTTTTTATTTACATAGACAACACCCAGCTATTTATGAGGGCCCTTGTTTGGTATTCAAATTTGAAAATGTTATCAGGTTTTTTTGGGATTCAGTTTTAAAATTGTATCAGTTTGTAGCATTTCAATTAAAAAATAAAGTAACAATTTCTTTGGCATTCCAATTTATCGGGTTTTTTGGCATTCCATCTAGTTTTTAGCATTTCAGTTTCAAACATTTATCTTTGTTTTTGACATTCGAATTTCAAAATTTTACCGGGTTTTTTGGCATTCCGATTTTTATATTATATCAGATTTTTTGGATTCCAATTACAAAATTATATCAGGTTGTTTGGCATTCTACTTTCAAAATTTTATCAAGTTTTTCGCATTTCAATTTTAATATTTTATTAGGTTTTTTGGCATTCCAATTTCAAAATTTTATCGGATTTTTTGGCAGTCCTATTATAATATTTCATCTGGTTTTTGGCATTTCAATTTCAAACTTTTAACAGTATCTTTGGCATTCCAACTTCAAAATTTTACATTCCGATTTTTATATTTTATCTGGTTTTTGGCATTCCAATTTCGTTATTTTATCAGGTTTTGGCATTCCAATTTCAAATTTTTACCCGATTGTTTGGCATACCAATTTGAAAAATGTAATTTCCCATTGCTGCCTGTCTCACTGCAGTTAATTGTGTTAATGTGGGAGACACGACCACTGCCTGCAGAGTGTAAGTCTAAGACAACCACAATGCCGTATTTGTTTCTACTATATTTGAGTACGCATCTCACTTTTAAAGGTGTAAAACGTCTCATAGATTTCGTTTCCCGTTCATTAACACTAATACTATGGGTTTCTTTTTAATTAGGCAGCACAAGATTTAAGTATACTTTCCTAATACTCTTTCATACCGTTCAACACATGTTACCTGCTATGTTTATTTAGCACTGTATTATTATTATAACAATTGACGGCCTCGCTAGTCTAGCGGTTTGGCACATTGCCTTGCTTGCGATATAAACCTTCCTCTAGAATCACTCTATCTATTAAAATAAACCGCTTCAAAATCCGTTGCGTAGTTTTAAAGATTTACGCATACATAGCGACGGACAGACAGAGACTTTGTCTTATACTATGTAATGATAAGGTTAAGATTCAATATCATCTAAAAGGAATAATATCTGTCGTAGACTTAATAACTTGTTAGATCCAATATGGGTAATAAATCTGGAATTTGACACTTTAAGGTAATTTAAAATGTACGCCAGTCGAAGACAAACATCTTGTAAATCATACCACGGAACTGGGTGTTTGCTTTTGGCTGTTTAACCACTCTCCGTTACCATGCGATCGCCAACAGAAATGTTTGGATTGTTCTCCATAAGGTGCAAGCTATGTGGATATAGGTATAACACTACTAACTATGTTGAATATACAAGAGATTTCAATAAAAGAAATGTATGCACTCGCTCTAATCTGTAAGAAATATCAGATGAAGATAAACAGAAATGTAACAAGTAAATTTTCGTTACTTTGTAAATATTGTTGCTTTGAATTTAACGAGATCAACCTTTCTCAATTCTGGCTTGGGTTAAACATATAAGAGACTACCTTTTGCCCGCGGCTTTGCTCGCGTTGATTGACAAAGTTTCAAATAAACTTCATCCCCTATTTTATCCCCTTGGGGGTAGAATTATACAAAATCCTTTTTTAGCGGATGCCTACGTCATAACATCTACCTGCATGTCAAATTTCAGCCCGATCCGTCCAGTGGTTTGGGCTGTGCGTTGATAGATCACTATGTCAGTCACCTTTGTTATATATATTTAGATTTCAATAAATAAATTGTATATGTATACCCGCTCACTATGTAAGAAACATCATAGGAAGACAAATAGAAATGTAACAAGTAAATTTTCGTTGCTTTATAAATATTGTTGTTTTGAATTTAACGAGATCAACCTTTCTCAATTCTGTCTTGGGTTAAACATATAGGAGATTTCAATTAATGAAATGTATATATCCGCTCACTACATAAGAAACATCATAGGAAGGTTAATAGAAATATAACAAGTAAATTTTCGTTACTTTATAAATATTGTTGCTTTGAATTTAACGAGATCAACTTTTCTTAATTCTGTGTTGGGTTAAACATATAGAAGATTTCAATAAATAAATTGTATATGTATACCCGCTCACTATGTAAGAAACATCATAGGAAGACAAATAGAAATGTAACAAGTAAATTTTCGTTGCTTTATAAATATTGTTGCTTTGAATTTAACGAGATCAACTTTTCTTAATTCTGTGTTGGGTTAAACATATAGAAGATTTCAATAAATGAAATGTATATACCCGCTCACTACATAAGAAACATCATAGGAAGATTAATAGAAATATAACAAGTAAATTTTCGTTACTTTATAAATATTGTTGCTTTAAATTTAACGAGATCAACTTTTCTTAATTCTGTGTTGGGTTAAACATATAGGAGATTTCAATTAATGAAATGTATATACCCGCTCACTACATAAGAAACATCATAGGAAGATTAATAGAAATATAACAAGTAAATTTTCGTTACTTTATAAATATTGTTGCTTTAAATTTAACGAAAAAAAATGACGTAATTATATCTTGGTTACAGGTAGATATAAGAATACAATGTTCCGTCATTTATATCTTCAGGACTAGAATAAGGGTCAACTTGAGAAATAAACATTAACACAACGCTGGACATTTCACATAGTTACGTGTAAATCTAAAACAAAGATGTTAAAAAGAAAATGTGACTAGTCTGATCCTGATATTAAACCTAATCGTATGGAAAAAAATCTAGTTCGATTATCGATCGAGTTTAATTACTTAGTGTTGAAAATTTTCGTAGTACCACGTTTTGTATGGGAAGAGGTCGCGGACATGCGCCTTGAATGACACAACTTATAATATTTATTATACTTTGAGTTGCTATAGATGTTAAATTATAATACAATCTTTCTTTTTTCAGAAAATGGAACTGCTCCACGTGATAATTAAATCAGGACCTTCGCCGCGCCCACTGGCGTGGTCTCTGGAGGTGTCCCCATCGGTCGGTGGCGAAGATTGGCGGATGATTCGCGCATTTGGGGACAGGGAACACTGTCGTCGTCTTTGGGACCTCCGACCAGAGAGGCGGAGAAGGAAGGCGAGAGGTGCCAAGAGAGCTAATAGATCGGACAAGCTGACATGCTCGACGCAATTTGTTAGTCCGCGTCCTTTAGAGAATGGAGAGGTAAGTTCCTAAGTATTGTTCACTCATATCTAAATTTTCCCATCTATGGGAATTACGTAAGGCAGTGGTTCTCAATTAGTTTTTGCTGCGCACCATTTCAAGACCTCGACCTTGTGTTATTATAGAAATCAGACTAATTTGATGCATTTTGATCTTTAATGCAATGTATTTTTTTAATTGTGACTCCAATTAGAGACAAATATCGGTGGTCTAACGGTTTAGCACATCGCCTGACTTCCGATGGTCGCGGGTTTGATTCCTCGCTCGGCACAAACATTTGTATTCATGAGTATAATAGTTTGTATCAGTCTGTGTGTTTTATATGTAATAAATGTCTAAAAGAAGCGCCTAAAATAGTCAATCATCCGTCATACTCGTGAACGGGTGTTGCTTGTAGGGAATGGTCTGCTCTAATCACTATGACCTCTTATTAATTGTTTAATAAGTTGTGTGTATTCAATATTTTTTCTATTTGATTATTTAATTGAATTAGTGCTAATATAACGGTAGTTTGTATTCACACACTTAAACTTAAATTGTAAAGTAAGAATAAAATTATTTAAAAGAGCAAAACACAAGTTTCTTGCTCGTTAGATTTAAAAAAATGTGATGACTATTAAAAAGTGTTTTAATGTAAGTTTATTTGAATAAATGATTTTCTATTCTATTCAATTGAAAATATTATATTTACAATGATTTGAAGATTTGATTATGGGTGTGATCTAAATATCGTTTGATTACCTCATTTCATATTACTGATATTGGATATAATTATTTTTAATGTGTTTTTGATAAGAATCATACCGTAGATTAGGAGATAATATCTTTTAGATATAAATAAACTACCTATTCCGTGTAACATTTTCAAAGTAACAAAAATAAATGTATTTTTCATATGTCTTCTTTATTACCTACCTAGAATTTACTCTGCAGCAGATATTATAGGATACTCTATTAAAGTGTAGGTACATTATATTTCACTCATCACTACATAATATAAAACAAAGTCGCTGTCGCTGTCTGCCCGTCGCTATGTATGATAATAGATAAAATTATTGTTCATTTGAAAGAAATATATACAAATGTTTTTTGTGAGAAATGTCGCAATCATTAGAAATTGGAACCATACTAAATTCACCACCGTGTTCTGACTCCTTCGATCGATCTGCCGTCCAATTCAAACAGGGATCGATATTACGACGGCCTGACCCGAGGTTCCAACTCCTATCGGTGCCCTTAGACGAAAATCGTATCCGTCAGACGTGAGTTGGCCTTCAGGCGTTTCCTAAGTCCTTCCGTCAAACTCACGAGTTTGAAGTGCCATCTCCTAACGTCCGGTGAAGCTGTAAAGGCTAGCTGCGGCCAACAGCATTAGAGTAGACCGAAAAAAAACTCTATTCTAGTTATATAAATAGAATTTAAATCTTATATTAAATATATAGAAGATACAAGTTTAAAAATACCTTCTCGAGTTAAATAAGTTACATTATAAACCGAGTAAGATGCGGTATTTTATAAAAAAAATACTGTTTATTATAATTGAAGGCAAGGCGGGTCGTTACTTAAAATACTAAATACTGAATGAAGGTTAATTAACCGATTATGAAAAAAAGTGATTATTATTCTATTAAATATTTATTTTTTGTACTATATAAAAAGTCTTATATTGAAGATTCTTTTCGTTCCATTTTCTCATACAAGTGTGGTGAACAGCATCAAGTGGCGACGTAAATAAAACAAGAACTATACACCGATAGCTTATAAATTATAGATTATGCGGAAATAAGCGCCTCAGATCAATAATAAAACATATTTTTACGAAATCGATAATTCTGCCAAAAGAAACAAATCGATTAATTAATAATCGATTATAAAGAAAGTCACATCCCTAATTAATGTTGAATCGTTGCAATTACAGATGCACGTGGGCGTGGGCGAGGGTGTGTGGGCGCGGCGCGTGCGCGTGTCATTTCGCGGCTCACATCCGGGTCCGGCGCTCCGCCGGTACTACACCGTGCGCGCGCTCACGCTTGCCGCACGTTGTCTCTGTCACGGACACGCAGCGCACTGTCATATCGATTCACAGGCAAGTGATAACACGTCACTTCTGTGGTGTGCGTAAAATGCATAACAATTTAATTAATAGTTTCCGCTTTTGACGCTAGTTAGCGTAAGATGTTATGTTCAGTTCTGTTCTGTTCTGTTCTGTTCTGTTCTGTTCAGTTCTGTTCAGTTCTGCTCAGACATGTTCAGTACTGTTCGGTTCTGTTAATTTATGTCCAGATTAGTTCTTTTCAGATCTATGCCGTTCTGAAAAGAATACACTAACCATCTATACCAATATTGCTTTTTATTTCGTGAATCAAATTTTAGTATAGCATTGATCTAGTGTTATAAACACGTAGCTGTTCTTAACCGTTTAATATTTAACAGGGTACTAAGTGTTCATGCGAGCACGACACCTGTGGGGCACATTGTGAGCGATGCTGTTCCGGCAGCGTGTGGTCTGCTGGTGTGCCGTGTCCTCAGCAACCGGACTGCTCTTGTGGAGACCGCGGTGCATGTACCTACGACGACACTGGTGCTATTATATGCCTAAACTGTACGGTTAGTATTTGGCCAACATTTATTTGTGACACTAGAAATGATTTACCGAATAAGTATAGTAAGGCTCTATATACGTCTAGAATGGAACTTTTTTTAATTTTAATGGATAAAAATGGAATGCAACAGTGCAGCTTGCCTCCAGCAAGGTGGACCGACGATCTGGTTAAGATCGCTCCAAGGCATTGGATGCAAGCAGCGCAGGACCGATCGTCGTGGAGATCTTTCTTTGGGGGAGGCCTTTGTTCAGCAGTGGACGTTCCGGGCTGAAATGATGATGATGATGAAGTAGAAAGAGATTTATCCGTTTAAGTTTTACTTCTTCCATTCCTTTTTTTCTTTTCTTTTAATGTATAACGAATTAAATAATTCCAGGAAAATCGAGCAGGTCCATTGTGTGACCGGTGTCTCATTGGACACTACAATGTTCTACCAGACGGACCGTGCATGCCCTGCGAATGTGATCCTGAAGGTTCAGAAGGTATTTGAATGATTTTCTAAACTAATATTATAATTAGGAAACATTTGTATACTCGTACTTGCTTTTTTGTACGCACAACCACATTGTGGAGTGCCGAAATTAATGGGTTTAGCCCCGAGAAGACTAACCCAGCAGAATTTAATGTTTGAAAATTTCATCAAGCGTTGGGGGGGGGGGGGGGGGGGGGGGGGATGAAATTCTCAAACGGTTAGGGTCTCAAAGGGTTGAGTTTAAAGAAAATCAGTAAATAATTTTTAAATTTATATTATTTAGTTTTCGAACAGCATCTAATTTGTCAGTTTTTTTTAATAAAAGTTCTAATTTGAAAAATTTAAGTTTGTTAATTCTTGAAAATTAATACTGATTTGTATATCTTGCTCAGACTTGCTCTCTCGTGCAGAACATGCGCTTGCATGAATGTCTGAGGCATTTTTATCTTTTATAAAAAATAAGGTAAAATTATTGCACTCCGTACGGTTGCGAGCAAGGTTCCGAGCAATCCGGAAGGGTTGGCAACTCTGTGTATTGCTGAAATCTTCAACATCTCATCACATCAATTGAACAATTCACACTACGTCATTTAGCTCCAAGTTTATCAGAGCTTGTGTTATGGGTTCAAGACAGCTGATAAAAATACTTAGATTTTTTTTCAATACATATATAATATATATAGCACATTGTGTATGTGTATCGATAATCATACTCATGAATACAAATGTTTGTACCGTACAAGGAATTGTTCCTTGTACGGTACAAACATTTGTATTCAGGGTTGTCTCTGTGACCACCAGAAGCACCGGAAGTAAAGCGGTGAGCCAAACTGCTACTCAGTGCTTACCTTGGAACTATATGGCGTAATGTGAATTGTCCAAGGGTATTATTAATTTATTACATCGCTACAGTGTTAAGGCGATACCCATCGCTACAAATATATTCATTACACTGTTGCAGGCACTTGTAAATGGGATAGAAAGCATCACAGAGTGATGTGTGATTGCCGGCCAGGCATCGCCGGGGCGCACTGCGATGCTTGTAAAGACAAAACAGCTACTTTCCCCGCCTGTTTACCACCAACGACTCCTGCTGTACCGGACTGCAAATGTGACCCTAGGGGTATAGTGGACCCCATGAGGATCTGTGACGAAGTTTGTGAATGCAAGGTAAGGCTTATTTACGAATTATTGCTTAGTACGTGAGTTAATGTTAGTTGGTAGTTTATATTCACACATTTATATCTATGTAAAACTATGTTCTCGTCCCGGCTTCGCCCGGGTGTACATGTATTATATATATAAACCTTCCTCTAGAAACACTCTACCTATTAAAAGAAACCGCTTTAAAATCCGTTGCGTAGTTTTAAAGATTTAACCATACATAGAGACAGACAGCGACAGCGACTTTATTTTATACTATGTAATGATGATACAGTTTTTATAGATGCTTTATTGCTGGTTCTGTATTAAAAAAAAATGTGTAACATTTATTTAAAAGAGCACGCAAGTTTCCTGCTCATTTTTCTTATGATGAGTCTGCGTGCCGTATGAGTGATAGAATAAAAAAATTACTATTCAAAAGTGTTTATATTTAGTTTATTTGAATGAAGATTATTTCTATCACTAGTATGTAATTAATAATAATATCTCAGAACAATTCACACAGCGACATCTAGTCCCAAGCTAACCAAACCTTGTGTTATGAGTACTAAACAACAGATATACTAAGATATATATTTTTTAAATATAAGATTACGTTTATTTCTAACTATTCTATTAAAAATTGTTCTGCTTCTTCCAGAAAAATGTTGTAGGAGAGCGATGCGACACGTGCGCGAGTGGCCATTTTGGTTTGAGTGAAGAGCTGGCGGCCGGTTGTCGGCCATGTTACTGTTCTCACATCACTGACTCGTGCGTGACAGCAGATCACGTCCAACAGCCACCGGTACACTACACCTACTTCTTTTATTTTCATTTATTTATTGACTAGTTGTTTCCGCGACTTCGTCCGCATGGAATTTAACTTTATTTGTTTTAAATAAAAGATTTTTTCTAAAATAGAAGTAGCCTAAGTTACTCCTTATTACATTAGATATCTGTCAAGCCATTCCAGAGATGTGCCGGAACAAACAAACCGACAGACAGACAGACAGACAGAAATTGTAATCTGGAGACATTATGAAATGTAGTGTATAATAACCTCTGGACAATTCACACAGCGCCATCTAGACCCAAGCTAAGTAGAGCTTGTGTTATGGAATAACAGATAGAAATAGTTTTTTTTATATATACATAATAATAATACTAACATCAGGACATTTCACACAGCACCATCTAGTTCCAAGCTAAGCAAAGCTTGTGTTATGGGTGCTAGACTACTGATGTAAATATTTAGATACATTTTTTTGTAAATACATACATAATATTATACATATAAAACACTCAGACCGATACAAACATACTCATGAATACAATGTGTTTGTACTGTGCGAGGGATCGAACTCGCGACCATCAATATTAAAGCGGTGCCCTAAACCGCTAGACAACGGGAGCCGTAGAATTATTAGCATTCTTGTTTGACAATACAGTTGTTTATGCACAGGTGGTGTTACCTCTAGAAGATGCGTGGTTGATAAGCGACGTAGAAGGTAACCAGACACTACAAGCATCCATCGAGCAAGGCAAACCCTATTTAATTAGCTACGAGGTGAGCACTAATTTCGCTGCAGAACTTAAATTAAAATATTATAAACAAATAAATTTTCATTTTATAAACATTTGGGTTTCAACCCTACAGTCCAGCCGGCCTCGGAATTTGCGTTTCTGACAGATCGGGATCGAATGGGCGATGTAACTTTGAACTGACGTACAAGTCAATCGAGAATTTTATATATATTGCTAGCAATGTACCATATCAGGTTGACCTTCACGCGATTCCTTCTGGAAATCATCGTGATAAGTTCTCATCGCGATAAGTTCTTGGTGAATTTGTCACGATGGATTAACTGGCCTGACCTCATGCTCATCTTATCATCCTCCACTGGTGCCCTGCCAGCGTAAACCGTTAGCGCAGGCGTGTGCACCATTCCATTATTATCCATAAAAAAAAAGTCCTCATTACTGGGAGGAAGAGCGGATTGTTAGTAATATGGTCTGACATCTTATCATCCTCCACTGGTGCCCCGCCAGCGTAAACCGTTAGCGCAGGCGGGTGCACCATTCCATTATTATCCATAAAAAAAGTCCTCGTTACTGGGAGGAAAAGCGGATTGTGAGTAATATGGTCTGACAATCTTATTGCTAGCAATGTACCATATCAGGTTGACCTTCACGCGATTCCTCCTGGAAATCATCGTGATAAGTTCTTGGTGAATTTGTCACGATGGATTAACTGGCCTGACCTCATGCTCATCTTATCATCCTCTACTGGTGCCCCGCCAGCGTAAACCGTTAGCGCTGGTGCACCATTCCATTGTCCTCCATAAAAAAAGTCCTAACAGTTCTCTTCTCCCAGGCGTCTATGTATACGGGTTATTGCAACGTGTGTCTTCAAATTTACCTTTCAATTCTCCAGGTTGAAGGATGGGAGTCTTTCTATTGGTCTACCAACTCCTGGAACGGAGAACAACTGTCGATGTACGGAGGTGAGATCCACGCCACACTCAACTGGGGCATAGTTAGAGGAGATACAGGAGGGAATCCTACTGTTGGACCTGATGTTATATTGGTTGGTGCTGGTGAGTTGTCTTGTACTTTTTCCCGTCCATTTTGTAAATAAAACGTGGTAATATCCCATTGTTTTCTTAATTTTACGTATAAAAAATGGCAAAGCCAATTTAAAAATAATAATTAGTATGGGACTTTTAATTTCGTAATTGCGTAAAACCATGTGGATTAAGACGAAGAACGAAAGGGTTTCTTTGTTCCAGATCCATGATCTTTTTGATGTTTAGGCTTCACTGATCATTAGTCATCGTACATTTAATCTTTAATTTTTTCAACAGACAGTCATTATTAGGTTTATATTGTAGGGCGAGATGTATATAATATGATGTATATAATATCCATAGTTATCTGAAATCTTATCATAATCTTACTAATATTATAAACCCGACAGTTTGTGAGTATGGATGGATGTTTGTTACTTTTCACGCAAAAACTACAGAACAGATTTTGATGAAACTTTACAATAATACAGTTTATACCTACATTAGACTAACATTATATATAATTTTCACGCAGGTTCGGGCAAGTTAGTAAATAAATGAAATATAATTATAGAAATGTTCAGAGAAATTCGTTTTTACTGGTAATGAACGTGGCTTACTTTCAGATGGTACAAAGTTAGCATCGTCGAATACGAGCTATGAGACTGCTGGTCAGCTGGAGATATCAGTGCCGCTGGAAGAGGATGCATGGTACGTGTTGGGTGAGGAAGAAAGATGGGGCGCGACACGGGTTCAACTCATGGACGTTCTGCGTGACGTCGACCATCTCTTGCTGCGTGCACATTTACATCTCGATCAGGATGAGGTTTGTATTAGAAGTTTCTTTATCTTAGTCTTAGCATAAAGATCATGAAGGGATGACAACACGTTGATTTCATCTCATGAGCCTGACAGGCCCCTACTGGCAACGGTGCAATATTTCTCATAATATAGTTCGAGTATAGTCGTGTCTGGTCGCCGAAAAGTCAACATTAGGCTTCCAAACTATATCTGGACCTTATTCAATGCCTGATTATACCTCTTTTAGAAGCAAAAGACGTGTCGCAATATGGGCGTAGATTCAATAACGATCGGAATTTGATCACCATTAGAGGAAGTCGTAACGGTAATCCAGTTTTTGCACTGAATGTTTGTGATGACATGTGTGAGACATGCTTATTATAGCGGAATAAAACAAAGTAATATAATTCTATTAATTAATTGAGACAACTGATATAAACACATTGATACATTTTGTTTGTAAATACATACATAGAAAATACCCAAACCGATACAAACAATCATACACATGAATACAATTGTTTGCACCGTACGAGGAATCCTACCGTCGACCATTAGAAGTGGTGTGCTTAAAATTGGTGTGCGAAATCGCCAGCCCCGAGGCCTTCAAATAGAGCGTAGGCAAGTGAATGCTGACAATGTTCGTGATACAGGTGCGACTGGAGAGCGTGGGTATGAGGCCGCCAGTTTACCCGAGCGAGACGTGCGCGTGCCCGAATGGATACGCGGGCGCGCACTGCTCGCGCTGCGCGTGGGGTCACGCGCGGATATTGCACGCGCGCGCAGCTACGCCGCGCTTCGAGTGCCTGCCTTGCGCGTGCAACTCGCATGCCATCTGCGATGCAGGTACTGCTCTTTTTTTGTACCCAGGCTGACGCTGGTGCGGTGGCAGTGTAACAGCGCCTGTCGGCAGTAGTACGCGCGACCGCTCTCATCCACCGCTGTTTGCTTCACGTAACACTCGCAGTATTTTCTTCCAGCAAGATATGCCGCTGGGCGAAACTAAATTGGCTCGCGGTGTGAATTTCGGCATTCCCAATTACCATGTCTAATGGAGGGACCAAGTCTCCTCACGCGGTATGCCCTACAGAGGTATGGTAGTGATAGTGCGAGGGGCTCCACTCAGAATTCATGAGTGCCAAACCCCACACTCAAGGGGGTGGTAGACGTGTGAGGACAGCTACTGCTCTTTAGGGTCCCGGTTTCTCGTAGATCCGCTCGATCATTACTAAAGTCCCATTCTTATGTATTGCTAGATTTGATATCTGCATTTGATTATGATGCTATCGCGAAGCGCAATTGCATTGGAAGATTGTACTCTGATTGTACAGGTTAATCAACATAAAGGCGTTTTCTCATTCGTAGTAATACACATATATATGTAGATACTTATTATTGCACATATTAAATGTTGGAATCGCCTTCAAGTAATGGTATTTCCCAACCGTTACGATATTGAAACCTTCAAGAAAAGAGCTTTTTCCTTAATGGCGACAACGCACTTGCAATTCCCTTGGTGTTGCCAGTGTTTATGGGCGGTGGTAATCTTTTAACTTCAGGTGACCCGCAAGAAAGAAAATAATCATTAATTTCTTCAACTCCAATAGTAAATACAACAAATGAGAACAACTTACTCGTTATTCAAAAATATAATAAAAATCAAAATGGAGTGCGATTCACGTGTTGTATATTAGCACAGCCTGGCTTATTCCTATTTTAGTGACTGCTGTGTATATACCATATAAATTGATTTTCCTGTACCCAATGCAACGGTAGTAAAATACTCTAACAGTGCAAAATGCCTTCATTACATAGTATAAAACAAAGTCGCTGTCGCTGTCTGTCCCTATGTATGCTTAAATCTTTAAAACTACGCAATGGATTTTGATATTTTTTTTATAGGGGCTGTTCAAGTATTTTTTGTCAGCAAAAGTAAGCAAAGCTCTTACCCCCTCGCCCTATGCTTACGTTAACATTTTTCTATTAATGTATTGTTTTTTTAACAAAGGCCATTTTATATATATAATAGATGTCATCCAAAATAAGCAAAGAAAAGACCCCTCGCCCCCCTATAGTGCTTACGTAATACTTGAACGGCCCCATAGATAGAGTGATTCTAGAGGAAGGTTTATATATATAATAGATACGCCCGGGCGAAACCGGGGCAAGTAGCTAGTAGTATATAAATATTACTCTTTTGCAATGCATTAACTGTTGTAAACTTTACAGTGGAAGGCCCATGCGGACCGTGCCAGCACAATACGACTGGACCGCACTGCGAGCGATGTCTGCCGGGACACTACGGAAACCCTGTACAGGTGTGTAACTTATTTATTAGCATACAAAACAGATTACAATTATACCAAACATACCTTATAGTCCAGGGAAATTATTCACATATTACTGGACCGATTATGAAAAATCACTTACAGAAATATATATATACTAGCGGACTCTTTAATTTTTTAGTTTATTTAATACTTATTCTGCTATTCAGGGCGCCGGGATTTGTAGTAATATTTATATATTATATATATATATATATTGAAATGTACATGTCTCATTGATGTGCATATATATATATATAATATAATATATATGCACATCAATGAGACATGTACATTTCAAGTGACATTTTATCACTGACCACCTGTTTTTGACTAATATTGCCACATGCCTTCCCGGAACCTCTCTACTTACACTTGAACTTTATGGTATGGTATTAAAGTTCAAATTGACTTTTAAGTATCATTAAGAATCGTTTGTATGGGATTACAGAAAAGCATTGTTTTTAGGCATTTTTAGGTAATTTTTAAAATTTTTCTCTCCGTAAGAACCATCCTCGTACCGCAAGGAATATTCTAAAAAAAGAATTATAGAAATCGGTTCAGTAGTTCTCGAGATTAGCGCTTACCAACACATTTAGCGATTCATTTTTATATTATAGATATAATCAAAAAGTAATAAACTGTATTCAACGCAAGCAGCGCCGTAGAATGCAACTAGTATCAAAACAACAGTAAATAAATTTTATACTTTCATAAAACGCAATTAGGTTATGTAAATACTAGTAATAAATTTTATTAAATTAATTTATACGAGAAAAAAAATAAAGAAATATTGTTATTATTGTAAACATCAATATATTCATATAACTAGGAGCATATAGTTCGGTACAAAACTGGATTGTAATCCAACACTATGTATGCCTAAAAGCTAAATTATATAGACGCATTCAATATACGCTAGATAGATAGATAAGGTTATAATAATATAATGAAAAGTAAACTAAACAGAAAATAATATGTAACTACGTAATGTAATGAATTATCATGTTAATAGAATTTTATTTATATGAAATAAAAAAAAAAATTGGTACAATATTAAATATAATTTGTCTCTTTACGGTGGAAATTTAATTGTCTCCGGAACTGGACCAGCGTTGAATGGAAAATATCTATATTTGTATTCGAGACAAGAATTTCATTGTATTGGCGATACATTCGAACTATTGGGTTATAATATGAAGTTTTATTTGAGTAAACCTGAAGATAGAAGGTGTTATAATTACGGTTGCGTGATCTAAATATTTACGGTTGCGTGAGTAATATAGACTTATCTTCCGTTACAAACCATTAATAAATAGGCGCATAATTTCTCTGTCTACTATTGATATTACCTTAAATTAGAGTTGTAAATTTTTATTTATTAATAATATGCCTTGCAAGGAGCTAAACCCTAAAGGGCCATGTACATACACCCCATGTACATGGCCCTAGCTAAGCCCTAGCTAAGCCCTAGCTAAGCCCTAAAGGGCCATGTACATGGGGTGTATGTACATGGCCCTTTAGGGTTTAGCTCTATGACCTACTTCGTCGAGAACCAGAGAGCTTGAAATGATACAGTCGAAAGATAGAATAAAAGTGTGTATTTAATTGAAGTATTGTATTTTCTATAAAGTTACATGTGTCATGCGTACACGCGCCGCTGCAGGTAACAACAGCTTGAAGGTCACGACAGCTACGTTGCTAATGTGTTACACGTGCGATAGTTTCAAGGACAAAAGTTGGCACGTGTAGAAAGTACTCGTCTGCTGCAGAGACATATATACTGTTTTATTCTTCTACAGGGCGCGTGCAAGCCGTGTGCCTGTCCGCTGTACATAGCGTCGAACAACTTCAGCCCGAACTGCGCGCTGGCGTCGTCGTCCGGCGACGAGTACGTGTGCACGCAGTGCCCGGACGGGTACGCGGGGGACCACTGCGAGCACTGCGAAGCAGGGTACTGGGGCTCGCCCGGCACCCCGGGGGGCGCGTGCCGGCCCTGTGCGTGTGGGGGCGCGCCCTGCCGCTCCGACACCGGACAGTGTCTGGTGTGCCCGCCGCACGCGGAGGGCGCGCGGTGCGATACCTGCCAGGTATGGACTAGACTCCATTTCTACATATTTTATTACTATTATTTGTCCATGGACTATGCCACTGGCAGTTACTGACTCAGACTTGTGGATTCTATTTTAAAAATTTACAATTTCTTGGCATTACATTAGCTAGACCAATTCAGACCAAAAATGCAAAATATACTTCGTGAACTTCATGTAGCACGCTCACTATTTGAACGATTTGCTCACTTTTGTGACTGCAACTCTGTTTTTTTGGCATCAAAATAGTCGCGCCAGAGAGGACTATTTGGGGTCTCTATTATACATCTTCTCTACAATATATCTATCATAGGCAATAGACACCTATAAAACCTGAGCCCACTATATTAGGTTCAATTCGGACGGATCGTGCTAATGATATCTGCTCGGCTTATCGGTACCAACGGTCCAGACTGATGAGGTAATCGAACAGCGTCGTCGATGCAGATCATCCACCTCATATCAGCAATAAACTGGGTCTTATTGTGCCTATTATTAATGGAAGGTGCATGTGTAATATTTGGATGTTTGTGCAGGAGGGCTACTGGCCGGGCCCTGCGGGTACGGAGATGGCGTGCGTGTCATGCGCGTGCGGCGCGGGCGCACTGGCGGCGGCGTGCGAAGCGCGCAGTGGGCAGTGCGCGTGCCGCCAGGGCTGGTCTGGCCGCGCCTGCGACGAGTGCGCATCCGGACACGGAGGTGAGTGACCAGCATCAATACAAGCGGGCGCTGGCGGCAGTGGCTAGTGCGCGTGCTGCCAGGGCCGGATCCGACTCAAATGTACTACTATACACCAATATGTACTGGAATATATGACTCGCAAGACGTCAGCTGTGTGCGCTAGAGACAGCATAATGCTTCCTTCTCTTTCCCACATAACTACACTTAAATAGATGAGTTCATGAATGCAAACGTCTTTCAGTAGTTTCCCTAAATCCACGATAGCTCATGTATAACAAAAATGTGTCATTATTGATTTCACAGTCCATTTCTGATTTTGTTGTCGATTGTTTTGTTTAGGTATAGAGGCAGGCTGCCCGCCATGTCGCTGCGGCGTGGCGGCTCTGAACGACGCGTGCGACGCTACCAGTGGGGCGTGCACGTGCGCGCCCGGCGCCGCACCGCCATCTTGCGAAGCCTGCCTCCCCGAGTACTATAACCTCAACGTCACCGGCTGCAGTGGTAAGTACGATCCATACTTATGCATTATTGCCGCTAGACAATATATAATAGAATAGAAAATTCTTTAATCAAATAACCTTAAATATGAGCAGGTTTGTAGTTTGTACAGTCATGTTTATTTTTTTTTGTCTACCGCTCCATCGGAAAGTTGTCTTATCACAAGTAGGAAGCGTAAGAGAATTGCGTGTTGCTCTTTTAAATTATTATAAAATAATTCTTGTATCTATATTATTGCATGATTATTTTAGTTCAAATTAATTATTATTGTAACTTTATTGTTTGATGTAATTTTTATTGACTTATTTAACATTTAATACTTTAGGTTTACCAAACTGTAATCGTCAATGAAATTAATTAAGGTAACAACAGAATAATATAGACTTATAATATATTACGACCCATACGTCAATTTGAATTTTGAAAACAGATCAATCCTAGTTCATATCCCCTGGCATTGACATTATTTGATAAGGTTGATTGGAGTACGCGAGAGGTTTGACGTTAAATAATTTCAAAAAAGAGCCATAGCTACCTTCCTAAAAAGCCGGCAACCGGCTCCGGAGAAATTCCTCTGGTATTGCAGGTGTCGCAGGTGGTAAACACTTACCATCAGGTAAGCCGCATGTTCATTTATTGTTTATAAATGCTATAAAATTAATTACGTTTCCTTTATTATCAATTTTTATTTTATCGAGTATCTATTCAATGGATAAAAGGGCACAGTGGATCACATGGTAAATATGCCGACGAGCTAGCAAGGAGAGGATCAGGTATGGCGGTAGCAGTCCCTCTGCCGCTTCTACCACTTCCCTTCTCGCAGATTCGAACATGGATACGCCAGAGACCCACAAAAATACAAAACCAAAGATGGACCCAAGCCACTAATAGTAAACAATCGAAGGTTGCAATTCCAATAACAAACCCACAAATTCCAAAAAAACATTTATATACAATGGTTGGCAACATGGCTGACACTCAGCATTTTCCCTCCAATTATTTTTTTTTGTTCTGGTTATCGGAAAGGCAAAGGGAACTGCGCTCATACAGCCATGTCTTCATATTTTTTATTTTCTTGATATTCTTATGTATAGTCGTAGAGTGCAAAAAATGATCTTGAATTTCTTAATATTTCCTGGAGACTACTAAGACTAAGAGCATATCTCCTCTTCGCTATGATAGATTTCAAGAAGTCTTCCGGAGAGAAGAAAGCGTACAGAAAAAGTTTCACACTTAAAAAATATGTGTTCCAGTGATTGAGAATTTCCTGTGGGTACAAGTAGGAGAAGAAATCATTGTAAATCTCTGCAAAAGTTCATTAAATAAGCCATGTCCAATCCTCAGTCTACAGATAACCTTATCTGTGTATGTGTAAAGTGTTTGTGTATAATTTTCCTTTCATCCCTCCAATGATTCAGTTGAGAATGGCAAATTTAAAATTCGAGTGTGGTGTGTTATTTTTTTTAAAGTTACATAGTACAACTAGCTGTCCCGGCAAACGTTGTTTTGCCATATAAATTAATAACGCTATAAAAAAATAGGGGTTGATGATAGAAGGGTGAAAATTTAGGATAGTATGTATTTTTGTATGTTGTATCATAAAAAAATAGAAACTAAAAATTTTGTCTAAAAAAATAAAAAATAAAAATTTTGGGGTGGACTACCCCTAACATTTAGGGGGATGAAAAATAGATGTTGGCCGATTCTCAGACCTACTCAATACGCTCACAAAATTTCATGAGAATCGGTCAAGCCGTTTCGGAGGGGTATGGGAACGAAAACTGTGACACGAGAATTTTATATATAAGATGGAGCAAAGAGGTTGCATACATTTATAAATAAAAATACCTAACGCAGTAATTAAAAAGGAAATCTGACAACATACCGCGATGTAATTTCTGTTAACGCCATCTAGTGGCACGAAGGAAACTAAATTACTTACTACAGTTTATCGTACACGCCACGTTCTTTACTCAACTGCGCTCTACAATTTGCGTAATGTGTGATGAGTGAATGAGAGTTCATTTGCAAAAGACTTAATATGTGGATACAAGCAATGGACCCACCGCAGACACACCGCCTGCGGCGCTATTGCATCCTATCATATACATTGCTGTCTCAGTATTATCTCTCCTTTTAAATTATAGGATAAACCACGTATTGGTGCCTCAAATATTCGTATGTTGACGTGGACCACTTGGAGGGATAATGACGTCATGCCGAGATTGTTTAGAATAACTGCACTGGGAGTAGGGTTGCCAGATGGCCGGGAAATCCGGGATTGTAATCCGGGATTCTAATTTTTCTTTTTTTCTATTTATCTCTGAAACCTTCCAATATTTATTTATTTTATTTATTTATAAATAATGTACAAATATAAAACAAAAAAAGGTGCATGTGGCGGACTTAACACCATAAGGCATTTTCTCCCAGTCGACCATAGGGAAAACAGAGATTAGTGGGCGGTGCATTTAAGTAAATAATAACATGAAATAAATAATAAAAGGAAGTAGGTACAATTATAATAAAATTCTATGAATTTTAATTTATAATTTTAATATTGAAATATATATATCCAACTACATACATACTTAAATAAGAATATATATATATATATATATAAATAGATAGATAGATAGATAAAAATCTTTATTCGTATCCCGATAACAAAGAGAGTACAAATAAAATTCAAATAACACATAAGAATAGTAAATAATTATAAAAAACAACACATAATACTTTAACTTCCACATAAAAAAAACATTAAAATATATATTAGGTGCCACAGGGATACGAAAGGGTTGAGCTACTCAGTGAACAATTTGCTCAGCGAGCAAAACACTGATTTTCAGTAGCAGCCCAGTGGTGGTGCGATCGCGTGCAGCGACATATTCACTCAACAATATTAATGTTACCAAAATTTAATTAAACTCATTATTAATAAAAATAATAGAAGAAAGAAATAATAAAATAAATAAATCAAAATATATATCAATATAATTTCAAATAGAAATAACTGTTGACGCAGAGCATCACCTAAGCGACCAAAGGCTAAATACATTTAAATATGTTCTATATAGATATGTGTATTTATTCGTTTAATAATTATAATGTTTTGTGTGTGCCATGCCATCTACCTCTTCTATGTACGTCAGTCCTATTGCTTGTTAGCAGGATGTCTGTAAGAAATTGCTTATGCAATAAGACCGTCTTTTGCAATTATTTTTTTTATTTACTGACTTTCTTATTGTATTCTATGTGTACAATAAAGAGTTTATTATTATTATTATTGTCCCGAATTCTGAATATCTACTAGTTTTGTAACAAAATCAATATATGACAACAAATTTAGATTCAGTTAGAATAAGAATGTGCTCAGTTTTATTAATATTTTCAGTTTATTAAGATTTAATCTATACATATAAATAAAATTGTAGTGTCTGTTTGTAATATTGAAATAACCGTTTTTTACTACATGCATATGAATATAAATACGGTACATACACCAAAATAACAGTTTTTACAATTTTTGTCTGTCTGTCTGTTTGTTCCGGCTAATCTCTAAAATGGCTGGACCGATTTTGACGGGACTTTTACTGGCAGCTGATGTAATAAGGAGTAACTTAGGCTACCTTTATTTTAGAAAAATAAAGTTAAATTCCACGCGGACGAAGTCGCGTGTACAACTAGCTTACAATATAGTTCATATTTCTACCAAACTTAAATTTAAATCTAATTTATTGTAACTTTAAATTTATTGATAAGCTAAGTGTTTAATTCTATTCAAATTTAATGTGTTCATTTACTACCAAAATTTTAAGTCTAAACTACATCTTAAATGATGATGATGATAACATCTCAGCATCAATCATCTCAGCGCGGAAGACGTCGACTGTTGAACGAAGGCCTCCCCTAAAAATCTCCCCTTTTAAATTTATAACTGGCGTTAATTACTATATAAAATAAATATAAATACTATCTACTATCTAAATTCGTAAATTTGTTTTTTTATTTATTTTATTTGTCTCTCGTTTCTTACCTTATATTTTTCTTTTTATTCTCTGTGGTGTAACTGTCAGATTGTTTGATATGTATTCATATAGTTGTGTATGTATTGTGTATGAGTATGTATTTGTATAACATATTATATATTCTTTCTTTGTTTGTATATTTTTATATTTATGTATTATTGTAAATGTAATAGTATAAATATTATTATATCATTTTTTATGTCTTGATTTTTTTTTTTTTTTTGTTATGATTATTTTTGCACCGCCAACAATTTTTCTCTGTACTGCCTATGGTTGACTGGTAGAAAATACCGCATGGTGTTAAGTCCGCCAAATGTACTGTTACTTTTGTACTGTGTGCATAAAAGTTATATAAATATAAATAAATACTTTCAAAATAAAAATAAAACAAAATACTTTTTACTATAGCAATAACCCGACAGCGTTGTCTTAGAACTGTCCCGGATTTGATAAGTTTCTGGCAACCCTAACTGGGAGGTAGCAATTTTATGAAATTATGCAAAATTGCATAATACGCTTGCTTTTATAGTATCGTCCCTTCGCTTGCAATTACGGTATATTTTGATGTATTGGTTCATGAATTCCGGCCTTCAATCATGCGCAGGCGACGTCCATGTTATTTATGATGCCATTTTAATTATCTGATAGTTAATCTATGAGATAATAAACTTCATTATCTGTGTCTATTCTAATAATAGATATTGTCTGTGATTTCGCTTATCTATATTGGTTATGTATATTTTACTTGTTAGTTATAAATTTTATTAATATTATAAACCCGAAAGTTTGGAAGGATGTTTGTTAATCTTACACGCAAAAACTACTGAACGGATTTTTATGAAACTTCAGTGTAATATAGATATATCAGATTAACGTATAGGTTGTAAGTTTAACTCGTGAAACCATGGGCACAGCTAGTAATAAAATAAATAAATAACCCCGGACAATTAACACAGCGCCATCTATACCTAC